TTACTCTGTGAATTATAAGATTTTAGTTGGATTTAGGTAGGTGATTGTGTCTCAAGATGATAATCAAAAATGTTTTGTGGATCATGAGATTTTAGGTCTAGTAGATGAGCATGATGATTATTATACTGGTGAGATAAATAGATATTTAATTTAGTTTGGAATGATTTGAATTTAGTTATGTGATTGTGATCTTTTAACCTAATTTTATGATGGATTATAAGGTGCTAGTTGGATTTAGTTAGGTGGGCGTGATTTTGACGAGCTAGTAAAAAATGTTCGGTGAATTATGCGAATTTAGGTCTAGTAGGTGAGCATGTTGATTATTATATTGGTGGATAAATGAATCTTCAATAAATTTGGAACAATTTTGATTTAGTTAGGTGATTGTGACCTTGAACCAAACTTTATGGTGGATTATGAGATTTTTTATGGATTAGTTAGTTGATTGTGATCTTGAGAAGATATTCAAAGATGTTTGGTGGATTAATTATTCTTGAACAATTTGGATTTAGTTAGGTAGTTGTGATACTGAACTGAATTTCATGCTGGGTTATGAGATTTTAGGTGGATTTAGTAGGTGATCATGTCTTGAGAACATAGTCAAAGATGTTTCCTGGACTATGAGAATGGTGATTATTATATTCGTGGGTAAACAAATCTTTGATTTAGTTAGGTGATTGTTACTTTTCAACCAATTCACGGTGGATTTTGTTGGATTTAGTTAGGGGGCTCTGATCTCAACGAGTTAGTCAAATATGTTTGGTGAATTATGTTAATTTAGGTCTAGTAAGTGAGCATGGTGGTTATTATATTGATGGATAAATCGCCCTTTAGTAAACATGGAGCAGATGTAGTTAGGCGATTGTGATCTTGAACGAATTTCACGGTGGATTACGAGATTTTCAATAGATTTAGTTAGTAGATTGTGATCTTGGGAAGATGTGAAAGATGTTCGATAGATTAATTAATCTTAAACAATTTGGATTTAGCTAGATGATTGTGATATTGAACCAAATTTCTCTGTGATTTATGAGATTTTAGTTGGATTTAGTTAGGTGATTGTGTCTTGAGATGATAATCAAACATGTTTGGTGGATTATGAGATTTTAGGTCTAGTAGATGAGCATGGTGGTTACTATATTGGTGGATGAACAGATATTTAATTTAATTTGAAACAATTTGGATTTAGTTAGGTGATTGTGATCTTTTGACCAAATTTTACGGTGGATTATGAGGTTTTGGTTGGATTTAGTTAGGTGATTGGTGTCTTGACGAGCTAGTAAAAGATGTTCGGCTAGATTATGCGAATTTAGGTCTAGTAGGTGAGCATGTTAATTATTATATTGGTGGATAAATAAATTTGTAAACTTGAATTTTTTTGGATTTAGTTAGGCGATTGTGATCTTGAACCAAATTTTATGGTGGATTATGACATTTTTGATGGATTAGTTAGTTGATTGTGATGTTGAGGAGATAGACAAAGATGTTCGGTGTATTAATTAATCTTGAACAATTTGGATTTAGTTAGGTGATTGTGATATTGTACCAAATTTCTCCATGATTTATGAGGTTTTAGTTGGATTTAGTTAGGAGACTGTGTCTTAAGAAGATAGTCAAAGATGTTTGGTGGATTATGAGATTTTAGGTCTAATAGATAAGCATGGTGATTATTATATTGGTGGATAAATGAACCTTTAAAAATTTGAAACAATTTGGATTTAGTTAGCGGCCTGTGATCTTTAACCAAATTTTATGGTGGATTATGAGATTTAGTTTGGCCGCGCTCCGCCTCTTCCTCGAGGAGCATGTGCAGTGCTGTGGCCTCAGAAGATGGGCGTCGACACCTGCAGCTTGTGCACAATGGTGACTCCACGCATCTCCTGTGCCCCACAACCCTCTCCTTCCCAGCAGAGGAGGAGCAGGAGCAAGGATGACGAGGCGGTTCAGGTTTGCCTCCACCTCAGTTCTCCCCCTTGCTCTCACTCTTGTCTCCCTTTTTTGTCTCATTCTGCAACTTCATTCAAGCATATATTTTAAATTGTTAGGTATTCCAGGTAGTTAGCTTATCTATGGACTACACCTACATTTGATGTTAGAACTCTGATACTAATTTATGTTCTTGTAGCATAGGTGAATGCTGCTTTAGCTTCAATGACCAATTTTATTGCTGAATATTTTTCCCATTGAAGTGTCAAAGAATATACAACTTGTTATGGAGAAGTTTTCTTATGGGGAAATAAAGATTCTTGTATGCAGAACTATTTGGGCTCCCGCAGCTGTATCAGTTGGTTTTAGTTCTCAGATTTTTACTTTGTGTTTTTTGGCAAAAAAAAATGGATGTATGAATCTGAGATCTGGACCTCAAGTTCACTGCTTTTCTTTTCATCTGTAGCCGCGAGGAAGAGTAGGAAGATCAGGCAGAGAGGGTTGCCATGGTGAGCTGCTGCTGTAATGCTTTAATTTTCTTTTGTGTTGTCACTTTGTTAAACTTTGTTCTCTTATTCTGATGCTATGATTTGTGGCTAGATGAGATTTGTGGTGAAAAGTCTCCTTTATTTTGTTTACCTACAGATCTCGAATGCACGATTGATAATTTTGCTGGATAGGTTAGAAATCTAAATAATAGACATTTTAAAGGAAGTAGTTGGTAAACAGGGAAAGCCAAGAAAAATATATAGCTTACTTACAGTGTTGTTTGATCCATCGCTCTACGACAGGCTCACTGTGGACTTGAAGTACGCCTAATCTTGGACTGCATTTATTGCCTTTTGTTGGTGTGTTTCTTTTATGCTATATTTAGGTGGTTCTAAGCTATTGAATTAGGAAAGCATATAGTTTATCTGTTTGAGACCCGCTTCAGTCTGTTGGCTACTACAGGGAGCTTTGGATGGTGGTCTTAATATTGCGCACAGTGACAAGAGATTTGTTGGCTTCAAGAAGGATAAGAAGCAGCTGGGCGCTGAGATTCACCGCAAATACATCTATGAAGGTCATGTTGCTGACTACATGAAGGTGAGTTGGATCCATTGCCCTCGTCGTATTATAATGCCATATTGCCATTTCTTCATTCCCTAGGGCTATTGTTGTTGTATACATGAATTCTTTCTGGAAGATATATCTGGGCCAGATTCACCCATATAAAGTATCCTAAAGCAGTGTACTTTGTTCTTATTTCTGAAGCAGCTTACTGAATCTTGTTTTAACTTCTGCCCTACCCTTACTGCAGTCAATAGGCTGATGAGGAATCTAAGAAGTACCAATCTAACTTCAGTGAGTACATCAAGAAGAATATTACGGCCGATGACATGGAAGCACTGTACAAGAAGGTTCATGCTGCCATTCGTGCTTATCCTACCATGGCAAAATCAACCAAGGAACCTCCAAAGACGCAAAAGAGTTAGATATATCTTGCTTTTTATTAAAGTCAAACAACTGATAATGAAGTTTATCAATATGTAGGAATGTGTATAAATGTTTTCTCATACTCATGTAGTCCGTTCATTCCTAAACTATATGTTCTTCTTTTGTTAAAACCTTGAAATATTAGGATGTTAGGGTAAATAATCTTAATAGAAAAGTTTTGCTATGCAATAAGATGCAGTTGTATGCAAAAAATAATCTTGTCTTATATAGTTATATATCAAAACTATGGATTTTCTATGCACTTCCTGCAATCATTAATGTTCATTGTCTTTGTTTGGATTTTGTTGGGCACCTGCGGCAACGGCTGTCGGACACGACGGACGCTGCCAGGTCTGCGTCGACATCGTGCTCACGGAGTCTGGCCTCTGCATTGTGTTCTCCATCTTGCAGTGCATGATGAACTACACGCTAAAGTTCAGCTGAAGTTCCCATGTTTTCTTCTACTACAAGAGTTCTGTCGATTTGTACTACTTGGCTGCAAATGTATGCTGTTTGCATCACCATACGGATAGTGGTAAGAATGCAGCAGCAAATCCAATAGTAGGTAATCATGACAGTATTTCACCACCGGTATCTTGCTGTCTTTAATGGTTGCAGGTTTGTTCTTCTGGCACTATTCATGGTTCTCATCATAGCCATACTGAATGATGGCAAGTGGCATCTCTGAATTTATCATATGAATTGTGACTTTATGAGCTTGCTTGGCTACTGACCTGCTATGTGGGAAGGGCATCCTTTTACCAGAGCTATGGATTTTAACATGCTCCATTTCCTTCAGGTCTTTTATCTCTCCATCCTTGATTTATCTGAGTCCAGTGGGGTTGCTCATGAATTACAGAATTTAGGCTTACAGTAGGATGAACTTCCTTGAGAATCAATAATAGAAAAGTTTTGGTTAAGAGCAATTTCCAATGTCAGAGAGAAAATTTACTTCACTGGTTAATAGGAATCCACCTCACATTTTCTTGTGTTGTGCCTTTCAAAGTAAAAAAAGCAAAAGTCGGAGAGATAAATTACTATTAGTTAAGACAACTAATTTGCATACAATGGCAGCAATGCACAAGCAGTGTCAGTGTTAGCATGTACTTATTTCAGAGATGATTGGAGTTACTGTTGTTTAGCAGCCACAATATAATCGAATCACAATTAATAGACTAGTAGGCAAAGATATTGGAGGGCTACTTTCAGATCAATTCATGACTATACTTATGGTATGAGCTATTCCTATCGCCGCGAACTTGTTGAACACGGCAATACTGGTGAACAAAAGCACGAGTGTGTGTGCAGTGCGAGCTAAGAAAGCCGGTTAATCATTCAGCATTATATGCATGGTATTCAGTCATGATTGCCAAGTGTCAAGTTCAGTTTAAAAGCTGAACCCTCAAGTGTTAAGTTTAGGTAACAGGGGTTGTGGAGTAACTGTAGCTGGATCAAATCCTGAATGTCAAGTTCAGAATATGATACTCAATTATCATGGCAAAATTTACTTTGGAATGTGTGGGTGCGCTGGTTTTCGACTAGTTGATCTAATCATCTTGAATTGACAGGTTTTCTGAATATACTCGCAAGTCGCAACCATGGCCTTACAGTGCTACACGCCTCTGTTGAAGCCCCAACTGGCCCAAGTCTCGGTCAACCCTTCCATTAACACGATACAGATTCCAGGTTTGCTTTGCCTTGCACGAATATGCTCGTTCCATGACATCTCGTTGGAATATGTACCGGATAACATGTGTTGATGTGTGGATGCACTGGCTAGCAATTAGTTATTCTAATACTCTTCTGATAATTATCTTCTCTGAATATACACGAAATAATGGCCTTACAGAGTCAGTGCTCCTCCCCTCTGCTGAAGCCTTAACTGGCCCAAGTCTCGGCCAGCCCTTCTCTAAATCGATGCAGATTGCAGATTTGCCTCGCACCAATATGCTCCTTGCATAAGCTAGTAATCTCTGGCCATATTTCGTTTTTTTATCCCACTTGCATCATGCCTGATGACTTTTTTTGTGCCACCAATTTGTGTATGTTCAAGGAGTAGCAGATTTTACGCATCTTTTTTTTTTGTGTCATTGCTTCATCAAATGGAAATTTAAGTAACGGGAGATTCGTGAAATGGAAATTTAAACCAGTTTATGATTTGGTGAGGAATCTATATATATTAGTGTGTGTTGTTACGTTGAGCTCTAAATAACGGGGAGCACACAAAATTACATTCAATCCAAATAGGGCTGGTGTTTGCATCTGTATTCTGTAGTTCTGTATGTTGTATTCAAATAAACTGTTTCTTTTTAGGTGTTCATTTTCATCTTAATAATGCTGATTGTTATTCACTTGGAACCATCATGTAAACCTAGCTGGACATGGTCAAACTATAATTTTCCATGTTTCAAAATAGTATGTGGTTTAGTACTTTGTTCCAAGAGTCTTTCTTCACAGCATGGATTATTTTTTTTTAGTATTCTCCTAAATCTTTTTGGTGTCTTGATGTGATCTGATCATCAGAATGCATGAACTGTATTGAATTCTTTTAAGGAAGCATTTGAATGTTACTTGTCCTGATCTAATTATCTGCAATCCACAGGTTATGGAACTGCACTTGCAATGGTAGCAGGAAAGACCTTGCTTGGGCGACCTTCTTGTTATGATATTGTTGTCTAAGATAAAATCCCTGAATCTGCTCCATGGTTTGTTGTCTAAGTTAAAATCCCTGAATCTGCTCCATGGTTTTGTTGTGTTGGATGTGCCCCAAGAAGCTTCTTTTTTTGATTTTTGTTGTCATGCTCCTCATACTCATTATGAAGTTTGGCAAATATCAATTCTCTGCGTGTTCTTCATAACTATGGCGAATCACATGAAGTTCAAATGTTAGCATAACTAATAAGTTGTATGTTCGGCAATGACACAATGCACAGATAAAGTGTTAGTTTTCTGAAACTGTTGTACTGTGAACTGATGCTAACTTCCTCACTTTTATTTGTAGTTTGGCCTACATCGGTACCTGGTGTTGATGTGAAGGAAAATACCTTAGACCTTAGCAGGACTACTTACCGCCGCCTTGCAACTCATTTTCTCCAGAAGTGTCTCGGCCTCAGATATGACAACTTGAGAATTCAGATTTTTTGTAGCGCAGAACCCATAAGTTCCTATCTTTGTGCTAGCTAAACTTGAGCTTAAGTTGTAATGGTGTAGTCAAAATTATTTGTGTGGTGAATTTTTATTCTTTTATGTGTCTGTATTGAGTTTTGTAGTTTTATTTGATAATTATTTGTGCAAATTTTAGTACTGGCAGTTTCTCCGGTTATCTGTAGAAAGAAAAGCATCATCCCCACTATAATTATCAAAAAATTATAGCAACTCATGTTCACTAAGTTTAGTAACAATATTAGTTTCTCCATTGTGAGCTGCTAGTGCTTAATCTCTAGCCACAAATTGAGCAAACGAGCATAGAACATCATGTATGTTGTAGACACACTGATCAACAAACTATGTATTTGGCTCTATAAGATTTCTCAGTATCAGCTCCTTATAGTACTTGCTTCCTAGTTCTTCTAAGTCATCCAAGGTCCCATGAAGAAATCCTTCACTAATCCACATGCCAATGATTTCCTTGCTTAAAAACGCCACAGTTTTATGGAGAAGGGAGTAGTGCAGAAAGCATTGTTTGGCACAAGAAGATAAATCTTTGTTTGAATTTTTTTTGGCGTACCTTTTAAGTTTTTGTACATTTTGTTTTGTTGCTGTGGAAACTGTTGCCATTGGAATCGGCCAAAATATCAGCAATTTTTTAGATAAATAATGGAAATATCATGGTGAAACTGTGACCCAAACAAAGATGAACTGGGAATTAGCACATTGTTGACCAAAATAGACCAGGTTCAACTGTCTGGTCCTTTTTTAGGGGTAAAAGGAACAAGATTAGGTTCTGCTAAACAAAAACAGAGACATGTAACATCAAAATAACGCCAGGCAACACAACCGGTCACAGAGGCAGCAGCAAAGAAAGACCCTACAAGTTACAAGATTTATACCACCAACCTTTTTCTCCCAACTGCTGAAAGTCAATCAATCCCTGTTTCAAAAAAAGCCAATCATCAAGTTCATGACTAATTCATTCCTAACATCCAAAAAGAACTTGGAAACAAAACCAACCAAAGGCCAAGCTCGTAGATCTTCCCTCGTCTCGTCTTTGTCTGTTATCTGAACTTGCACATTTGTCATATAAGTGTTCAGTTCTTTAGTATCTTCCTTCAAGTGGCGATGGTCTAGTTGGGTCTCGATCGGGCATGAGGCGATGACATAGTGTTGGATGGTCTTGCTTCCGGTTCTGGCCAGGGCAGACGACGGCGGTGTCTGCGAGCATTGCTTCCTTGAAGGCATCGTTGAGGCGACATGCTCGCTTCTATGCCCAAAGTAACTCTAGGGCTCTAGGGAAAATCTTAGATCCACCACGAGATTTGGATTGAAGTTTGAGATGTCCTCTCAATCCAAAATAATTTTAAGGGTAAGGTTGGATCTTTAGGCAAACATGATCACCCATAGAGAAAGATCTTTCATTCCTTTTTCATATTTGTGAAGTATTTCATTCTGGTTTGCGCTTGTTCATTATTTGTTCTGAATTGAGCAACCATTTGTTCACTGTCATAAATGGTCATTTGGGGAGGTTTATAACCATATAAGGCCTCAAAAGGAGTTTTTTTCAGTGAGAAGTGGTAAGAGTTATTGTGCCACAGTTCAGCTAGTGGGAGCCAAAACACAGGGTGAATTGGTCAACTCTTTTTATTTGGTCGTTTGGGGAGGTTTATAACCATATAAGGCCTCGAAAACCATGCAACGCAGATAGAAGACTTGGTGCATTGGTCAACTCTTTTTATTTGGTCGTCGGTTTGCGGGGTGTGATGTTGTGTTGATACATCGTTCCACCTTCACACATTTGAAAAGTTCTTGATAGAGTTAACTCAAAGATTTAAGGAATGTTATGTGAAAGATCGTGGATGTCGCCTAGAGGGGGGTGAATAGGCGTTTTAAAATAATTACGATTTAGGCTTGAACAAATGCGCAATAAACCTAGCGGTTAATTTGTCAAGCACAAAACCTAAAACAACTAGGCTCATCTATGTGCACCAACAACTTATGCTAAGCAAGATAAGCAAATATGTGATAGCAAGATATATATGACAAGAAACAATATGGCTATCACAAAGTAAAGTGCATAAGTAAAGAGCTCGGGTAAGAGATAACCGAGGCACGCGGAGACGATGATGTATCCCGAAGTTCACACCCTTGCGGATGCTAATCTCCGTTTGGAGCGGTGTGGAGGCACAATGCTCCCCAAGAAGCCACTAGGGCCACCGTAATCTCCTCACGCCCTCGCACAATGCAAGATGCCGTGATTCCACTAAGGGACCCTTGAGGGCGGTCACCGAACCCGTACAAATGGCAACCCTTGGGGGCGGTCACCGAACCCGTACACTTTGGCAACCCTTGGGGGCGGTCACCGATACCCGTCAAATTGCCCGGGGCGATCTCCACAACCTAATTGGAGACCCCGACACTTGCCCGGAGCTTTACACCACAATGATTGAGCTCCGAACAACACCAACCGTCTAGGGCACCAAGGCACCCAAGAGGAACAAGCTCTAGGGTGTCCAAACACCCAAGAGTAATAAGCTTCTCAAACTTCCACGTATCACCGTGGAGAACTCAAACCGATGCACCAAATGCAATGGCAAGGGCACACGGAGTGCCCAAGTCCTTCTCTCTCAAATCCCACCGGAGCAACTAATGCTAGGGAGGAAAATGAGAGGAAGAACAAGAAGGAGAACACCAATAACTCCAAGATCTAGATCCAAGGGGTTCCCCTCACATAGAGGAGAAAGTGATTGGTGGAAATGTGGATCTAGATCTCCTCTCTCTTTTCCCTCAAAAACTAGCAAGAATCCATGGAGGGATTGAGAGTTAGCAAGCTCAAAGAAGGTCAACAATGGGGGAAGAACACGAGCTTAAAAGGTTAGGGTCAATGGGGAAGAAGACCCACTTTTATAGGAGGGGGAAAATCCAACCGTTATGTGCTCAGCCCGCACACGAGCGGTACTACCGCTCCTGGTCCCGGTACAACCGGGACTCACAGTATACGTGCAGAACCCTACCAGGCGGTACAACCGGGCGACCAGGCGGTAGCACCGGTTGAGAAGAACAACCGGACCAACCGCCCAACCACCGCTCAACCACCGCATAGGAACAGAAGGGAGTCACCCCTGAGTGCGGTAGTCGAGCGGTACCGGGCCGGTGCAACCGCATGGCCTTGAGCGCTCGGGCGGCTAAGTCCTGAGCGGTAGAACCGCTCCGGACACTGGTGGTACCGGTACGACCGGACCAACCGGGCCACCACCGCCTGAGTACCGCATCAAAATAGAGGCCTGACCGGTACTTGGGCGGTGCCTGGCCGGAACAACCGCCCAAGACTTTGCTGAGCAAGTTGGCGGTACCACCGCCCGGAAGCAGCGGTACAACGGCTGAGAGCTCCAAGGGTACTACCGCTGGGGCACGCGGTACTACCGCTGGGACCAGACAAAAACCACTCTCAAGAAAACCAGAACTGCCATAACTTCTGCATATGAGCTCCGAATTGAGAAAACTCAAGCTTGTTGGAAACAAGACGACGAGTAGCATCAAAACAGCGACTGGATATAGTAAGAAGAGGCAGGGGAGGTATGCCAACAAATAGAGGAGTGAAACCTCCAACCGAGAAGAACCGGCAAAACCTCCAACATCGAAAACATCATAGAAGATGCAAGTGAACTCCGTTTTCGATGAACTCGAGCTTGTCATCAAGATGACCATAAGCTCTAAGACTCACAAAGAGAACCAAACAAGAACCAAGAAAGATGATGCAAGGATGCAATGGTTTGAGCTCTCTACGAACGATACGATCAAGTTACTCA